CCCAAAAACCGAAGACAAACAAAACTCTGTCTCAAAAGAAACAAAAACAAAACAAGAAAAACAGCCGCATTGAATTGGAGTGGCCAGACTTGGAGTAGAATTTATCTCAGAGTACTCATTTTGCCAAATGGTTCATAAAGTTGATAAATACTTGTTTGTGTTTTCTTCGTCTATAACAGTGTCACACTGTTTTGTGGTTTGAGAAGACAGAGTTGATCCAGAATTAGGTGAGTGTGAAGTACAGCAGGAAGCCTGGTCCTTTGTTTCTGCATTTTTGCATTTTAGTCTGAAGACTGTGATGAGAGTATGTGGAACTGTTTTTTGCATTTTAGCGCTGGGTTCTGAAGTCCTCTCCCATCCATCGGTACTTAGTGGTGGTCGCTATGTAGTGTGTGCTTCGTTGACCTATTGGGTCCTAAATACAAAGTACTACATCAAGGACCTAATATATGAGAGTTTCTGATCTTGAGGGCGGTAAACACTCTGGGGAGAAAAGAGATATTTATAAGTAAATACAACGCAGAATATGAAAGCGATGAAAATGAAGAGATGCATTTTGAGAGGGGGAGAGCAGCAGGGAGCGAGGTTTTAGCTGAGTCTATAGGAATGAGAAGTTTGAGCAGACAGGGATCGTAGTTCATTGGAGGCAGAGGGAACAGAACGAGAAGAATATGGGGCAATGTGCGTGTATGGTATGGTACATGATACATGTTGGAAAGTACAAGGTTCGGCCAAATAGCTCAGCAGATTAAAGTGCCTGCAAGCAGGTGCAGGGGCCAGGGGTTCAATCCCCAGGGCAGCTATGCTGCCTCCCCCGCTGGGGGGCACACTAAGACAGCGAACAAGACTATGCTTGGTGGCCCATGCCTGTAATCCCAGCTCTTGGGAGGCTGTAAACAGGAGAATCACTACTAGTCTAATCTAGTTGTGAGACCCTGAGCACCCTGTAGACCCTTCTCTAAAATTGAGGAAAAAAAAAAAAAAAAGAAAGAAAGAAAGAATGAAAGTACAAGTAAGCCCGTGTGTCTGGGCTGTGGGTTTTATGTAAATGTGTGGTGAAAGATTAGTTTAATGACATGTTTGAACTCTTGCTGCATAGGTCCTGCTTTACCTTGGTCTTAACCATCCAGCAGAAAAGTATGAAGACGAAATTATAAGAAATAAAGCCATGCTGTTAAGTTGAGCTGTGGGGGACTCAGGTCAATAATTTCTGACATTGCCAGTTAAACAGAAGACCCAGTACTATTATGGGCTACTGGACTCTTTTAGAATATTTTGCTGAGTTTACACACCTATAATATTCAATAACGGAACTTAGAAAAAATGGGGTATACAGATGAATGTCCATTTTGTATCTGTGTATTCAAAGTGGTTGGGATAGATATATAGTTACATTCTGTTAATGAATAGAATGATTTGTTCTAATGGAGTTTGTAAATAGGATCACAAGTCCGCATCTTGTACAGCAATTAACCACTAAGAAGAATATATGCAGTGTATTATTTGTTGAAAAATAAAAAAATAAATAAAAATAAAAAAAATAATAAACTAAAAAAAAATAAAAGATTTTGAAATGCTCATTTTGCTGTGGTATGCACAGCGGCTATATCCTTGTATTCTATAATAACCGTCATTAATTGGTCCAGGATGGACATTTGGCTCAAACAATCAGAATCCTTTCCTGGAGTTTGCCATATTTGTGCTAGAAGAATTAAGGCTAGTGAAGGGAGCCCTGGCTGTGAAGTTCTTCTGGCTCATCATAGGACACTGATGAGCAGGCGGTATCTGGGACAGGGTGCAACCTAGTGAGTCACTTGGGTGATGGTAGGGGAAGACATCCTGGTTGAGAACAACGGAGCAGTCATCTCCTAGGCAAAAGAGTACTCTTGCCTTTGGTTGATGATGTGAGTTTCTCCAGGAGCTGGAGGTGCCACACCAGTCATGTTGCCTAGCAGTGTGGAGGACAGGAGAGTAGGTGGCTGGGCTTGAAGACCTGCCATTTCATTCACTTGTTTCTGCTTTTCTCATCAAATAGTTTCCAGAGTACTTTTTTGAGAAGGTGGGAAGTGTGGCTCCCAGGAGCTCGCAGTGCACATTTTCCAGGTTCTTCAAAGCGCTTCTGCTGCTTCTGACTGCCAACTTGAACATTTCTAAGGCAGAACCCTGTTCTCAAAGCATTATCTGCCGGTTTTGGGGCTAGGACACCATCAGTGTGATCGGCAGACCCAGCAGAACTGCTTAAGCATGTGGGAAACTGTTTGCCTTTTAGAATTGGAGACAGAAAAACTTTCCCTGGTGAAGTAACAGCAATGAGGAAAGCCTAACCTGGATCCACACCCTTTAGGCTAAAAAGAAAAGTCTGGATTTAAGAAACGTGGCCCTGGGAGAAGGAATCTACTGTTAACTGAGGTGGTAATGCTAGAACATAAGTTTTTCTTGAAAGAGAAATAATAGCCTCACATGGTTCATGCAGCTGTCTTTGAAAGTGTAGGAAATTTTTGATAGTT